GTCGTGTTTCAAAAAAGTCGTGTTTCAAAAAAGTCGTGTTTCAAAAACGTCGTGTTTCAAAAACGTCGTGTTTCAAAAACGTCGTGTTTCAAAAACGTCGTGTTTCAAAAACATGTGTGTATAAACCAGTACTGTAATACAAATATTTTCAACAAAAAGAGTCAATTTGAGCAAGAATGTCTCTTGAGGTGAAATTTTACAAGAAGTGTGATCATTACCCCCTCATCTTGATGCAGGCTTTCAACCCATGAGGTCCTCATAGAAAAACTGTTGGTTTATGGACTGGATGAGCAAAAGGTAGACTGAAAACTGAAAATTGTAGGGCCTAGAGGGTGGTGATATGCAGAGCAAAGTCTAGTTGGAAACCACTAACTAGCCCTGTATCCAGTGGTCTGTACTGGATCCAGTCCTGTTCAACATCTTCATTACTGACCTGGATAATGGGGCAGAGTGTACACTTAGCAAGTTGGCTGATGACACAGAGCTGGAAGTAAAGGATTGTAAGCCAGAGGGTCATGCTGCCATCCAGAGGGACCGCAAGAGGCTGGAGAAATGGGTGGACAGGAACTTCATGAACTTCAACCAGGAGAAGTGCAAAGTCCTGCAGCTGAGGAGGAACAACTCTTTGAACCAGTATATACTGGGGACTACCCAGTTGGAAAGCAGATTGGCAGGAAAGGGACAGGGAGTCCTGGTCCTGGTGGACACCAAGTTGAAGGTGAGCCAGCAATGAGTCCTTGCTGTGAAGAAGGTGATTGATATCCTGGTCTGTGTTAGATGAATTATTGCCAGCAGGCTGGGAGTGGTGATTATTCCGTCCTACTCAGTACTGGTGAGGCCACACCTGAGTAGTCTGTTCACTTCTGGGCTTCCCAGTACCAGAGACACTGCGACATACTGGAGAGGATCCAGCAAAGGGCTATGAAGATAATGAAGGCACTGGATCTTTTCTTCTATGAGGAAAAGCTGACAACTAGGACTGTTTAGCCTGGAGAAGAGAAGGTGCTGTGGGAGATCTTACTAATGTATTTAAATATCTGAATGGGGAGGGAGTGAAGAAAACAAAACCAAACTCTTTTCAGTAGTGTTCAGGGACAGGACAACAGTCAATAGGCACAAACTGAAACAGGAGGCTCCATATGAACATGAGGAAACACTTTTTTTTACTGTGAGGGTGACTTTGCACTGGCACAGGTTGCCCAGGGAGGTTTGGAGTGTCTGCCCTCAGAAATACTCAAAAGCCATCTGAACATGGTCCTGGGCAACTGACACAATTTGAGCTACCAGTCTGAAGACTCCTGACTTAAAGTATTATTTGAAATTGAATGTATTTATGTTACAAAGAATATTGTACTATAGAGCCCAACTTAGAGCAGTTTTTCTTTACGTTCATGTTGCTAATGGAGGCCGGGGTTGCCTTTGCCAATTCTCGGAATGTAGGCTTTTGCTTGTATTTATTGGATGGGGTGAGTCACAGTCTTCTGTACCATGAAAAATTTAATATTACTATGCAAAAATTTCTGATGTTAATTATATGTATGTGCATGTGTATGTCCTTATGTTCAAGGTTTTTTTTCTCAGCCCTGTTTTCAGCATAGTCAGGAGAGATTGAAATGCTTTGTACTTACAGTAAACAATGTGATAATTATCAAACTGTTACAGGTATGTGTTTGAAAATGAGAGCTTTGTTTCATTCTGGTTACTGTATCTGAAGATCTGCTCTTAAGACTTCAGGTTTTTTTCCTGTACTGATTCACTGTATGAGGGATACTGTGTCCTTTTGACTGTGGACCTCAGCACTCCATTGCCCTGTGAGAGAAGGGTGTGCCCAGACTATTTCCAACATCCTCTTGGCTGCCTCCTCATGCTTCATTTACAAATTCATACACTCAAGCACCTTTTTTATCAAGCCTATTCTGTGACTTTGTCTGTGTATAGTTAGGTGATAGTGGGGTGGGAAGTGAGGGACTTGCCCAGATCGCTCTGACAGGCACAGACCATGTGTGCCCATATGTGGTTGCGAGCTATGCTGGCGATGGTACATGCCTTCGGTAGGGTCGCCCATGCCAGACAGGTCAAAACCATAGGGTCAGATACATTACATTCTTGGGCAGGATGAGCCCGTTAGCCTTCTGGCAATCATCCTAGGAGAAGGACAACTCTAATCTCAAACCCGGGCAGATGGAGCTCGCTTAGCCCTGTAAGGCCATCCATCTAAGAGAAGGTCACTCTAATCAAACCTACGTCCCGAGGACCTCGCTGCCACCGTCCAAGCTCGCTTGGCCCTGGCAGATGAACCTCAGGATTAAAGGGTGGGTTCAGTTCCGCGCATACTGCATCTCACCTAAAAAATCCATTGCGCAGGCTTGAAGGCTTTACCCACATGCAAAAAGTCCTGCAGCGACGGGCGAGGGTCGAAACGGTAGGTGAAAGGTGCACTGGGAGCCGCAGACTCAACCCTGCATGCAGGCGGTTCAGGATATTGGTCATTTGAGACTGACGGAGATGAGAGTCTCTTGGGGCAGCACCCTGAACGACCAAACAGCCTTTTCAAGGACGGCACTGCTTGCTCCACTCGGAGAGGGGCCTAGAAAAGGTGGCCTAAACAAAGCTCATCTCCACCTTCACCCGGTTGGTTAACCGCAGACCAACGGGCATCTTCTTCCAATGCGGTCGCACAAAGAGCAAAAGACAAAGGCATGCACCTGCCTCCAAAGGTGTACCCAAATTAACTCTAGCATGTTGGAACATCAGAACCATGCTCGATTCTGCGAACAGTGGGCGTCCTGAGCGACGTTCTGCCCTAATTGCCCATGAACTGGCTCGTCTCAACATCGACATTGCTGCTCTCAGCGAAGTTCGCCTTCACGAGGAAGGCAGCCTCAGAGAACATGGTGCCGGTTACACACTCTTTTGGTCAGGTAAGCCCAGAACTGAAAAACATCTCTCAGGTGTCGGTTTCATGATCAAAAACTCTATTGTCCCTAAACTCGAAAATCTGCCGACAGGTCACTCTGACCGCATTATCTCCCTACGCCTTCCACTAAACAACAAGCAACACGTTGTCATCTTCAGTATATATGCCCCAACTCTCCAAGCTGACCCTGCTGAAAAAGATAAATTTTACACTGACCTGCGCTGCCTTACCCAAAAGGTGCCCGCAGATGATAAGATCATTATCCTTGGTGATTTCAACGCCAGAGTAGGTAAGAATTTTGAAGCTTGGAAAGGAATACTAGGCAAGCATGGTGTTGGAAACTGCAATGATAATGGTCGACTTCTGCTAGAATTCTGTGCAGAGCAACAGCTTACCATAACTAACACTATCTTTCAGCAGAAAAATAGTCTGAAGACAACCTGGATGCACCCCAGGTCTAAGCATTGGCACCTCATTGATTATGTCTTGGTGCGTCGGAGAGATGTCCGCGATGTCCTCCATACCCGCGTGATGCCCAGCGCAGAATGCCAAACAGACCATCGGCTTGTGCGCTGTAAACTCAACTTCATTCTCAAATTCAAACCCAAAAGGGGCAGTATCCCAAGGAGAAGACTTCAAGTTAACGATCTCCAATCAGCCACAGTAAGAGAAAGATTCCAGACAAATCTTCAAACCAGGCTCGAAAACCATCCCACAAATCCTGCAGATTCCTCTCCTGAAACAATTTGGTATCATATTAAAAGCTGCATCCTGCAATCCTCTGAAGAATCCTTAGGGTTCTCCCTCAAGAAGAACAAGGACTGGTTTGATGAAAACAATCAAGAAATCCAGGACTTGTTGAGGAATAAGAGAACTGCCCACCAAGCACACCTTGCACTGCCATCCTGTCACGCAAGAAAAACAGCCTTTCGTCTTGCATGCAGCAAGCTTCAGCAGAAACTCCGTGTCATCCAGAACAAGTGGTGGACCGATCTAGCTGCAAAAACTCAACTATGTGCAGATACAGGGGATCACAAAGGATTCTATGAGGCCCTGAAAACAGCATATGGGCCTACGTACCAAGTCCAAAGCCCACTACTCAGTGCAGATGGTCAAACGCTTCTGACAGATAAAACCTCCATTCTGAATAGATGGTCTGAACACTTTCAGACTCTTTTCAGTACCAACCGTGTAGTACAAGACTCAGCAATTCAGTCCATCACACAACAACCGGTGAAATTCGAATTGGATACTGCCCCCACTTTAGGAGAAACCCTTAAGGCCATACAGCAGGTGAAAATCGGCAAGGCAGCTGGGGTTGATGGAATTCCACCCGAAGTCTGGAAACATGGGGGCCTTGCACTCCATGCTAAATTTCACGAGTTTGTGGTGCGCTGTTGGGAACTAGGCGAACTACCTTCAGACCTTCGTGATGCAGTCATCATCACCTTGTATAAGAAGAAAGGTACTAAATCAGACTGCTCAAATTACCGTGGTATTACTCTGCTCTCCATTGCTGGCAAAATCTTGGCAAGAATACTCCTGAACAGACTAATACCCGCTATAGCAGAAGAAATTCTACCTGAAAGTCAGTGTGGCTTCAGAGCCAACAGGAGCACCACAGACATGATATTTGTTCTCAGACAACTGCAAGAGAAGTGTAGGGAACAGAACAAAGGTCTCTATGTAACCTTTGTCGACCTCACCAAGGCTTTCGATACTGTGAGCAGAAAAGGTCTTTGGCAGATTTTGGAACGTTTAGGTTGTCCCCCCAAGTTCCTTAAAATGATCATCTCACTTCATGAGGATCAGCACGGCCAAGTCAGATATGGCAACACACTTTCTGAGCCCTTT